CCCTACTATTTATTGACCAAGTCTTGCACTGATTTGCTTTACCAAAATGCAACACCTCAGATTAAATTGAACTCCATCTGCCACTCATCAGACCATCAGATCAAAGTCTCGTTGTACTCGGAAGTAACCTACTTCACTGTCCATGACACCACCAATTTTGATGTCATCTGCAAACTTACTAACCATTCCTCCTATATTCACATCCAGGTCATTTTTATATAAATTATAATTTAATTATAATCAATATAAAACTGAGTTCAATCAGCACTTTTTCTTTGCATAACAAAAGAACAAATATGTCGCACCTCCCCACACTGGTAAGCCATCTTGCTCAGCCTAAACTCATCTACCTCCTGTATTCTAATCTTCAGTGTTGGTTAATGCCCCATCACTATTGTTACTTTCTAAAATAAAATCTACCATTGCAAGATTTTGTTTTATCTTCTTGCTCAAAGGGAAGGTCTTATGAGAGTGGAATGTTGCTGAATTAGAACCAAGGACCTTCTAACATAACATGAAGGATGGTTAATGAGACAGACTAACAAATTGATCCAGTTATCACTTTTTTAAAGAATTACTTTGATTCAAGAGAAAATTTAATACTTTCCAACAATTGTCACAAACAATGGTTAAACATATTTTTGATTTTTGAACATTCATTTACTTTCCATTGCTTGAGAGTCAAACTAGGAATGGTCCAACCAGAAATGCAAAACCAACTGCTAGAAATCAGTCTTATAGGAACAATAAGATGCCCTATAAGCACCTCCCTCTCTGACCACATGCCGAAAATAAGAATGCAAAGGCTTTACAAAATAAAGAATAAACTTATTTTGCGAGTTATTTACCTTTCTTGCCTTTAAAGAAAAACGACATTTTGTAAAAAAGGAGGTAAATTCACAGAGGAGTCTAGTGACAAATACAGGTTGGATGTCCTTTATCTGCAGTTCTGAACACTGAAAAGTCCCCAAAATCAAGGGTCTTTTCAAAAGTGGATCAAACAGATCTGTAGATAAAAGTTGAGTTTGGGCCCTTTAGCAGAAAACATTGCCTGGTTCAAACAGGCGTGAAAAAAGGGAAATACTTTGCCCTAAAAGGGCCCTAACTTATGTGTCTACAGATCCATTCAGGCTAAGCAGAGGTTTTTCCCCTCAAAAGGGCATGAGCAGCCCTATAGGCTAAACGAATCCAAAAACCAAAAATATTCATTATCTAATGAATATTCATTATCTCAGTCGGTCCTGAGGATTCGAGAAAGGATTTCAGATAAAGGTTTCTTGAGCTACAACATTTTTTGAAATTATTTGTTCATGGGATGCGGGTTTTGATGGTTAGGCCAGCATTTCTTGCACATTCCTAATTAGCCTGGAGACGACAGTCCTGAGCTGCCTTCGTGAACTGCTTTAGCCCTTGGGTGCAGGAGCACCCACAGTGCTGTTGGGAGGGAGTTTGAGGATTGTCACCCACACCTAGCAACATTGAAGGAATAACGACAGACTTCCAAGTCAGGAAATAACTTGGAACAGAAAACTGTAGGTGGTTGTGTTCCCATGCACGTGATATCCCTGTTCTTTTGAGTGGTACAGGTTTTGAAAATGGTCTCAAAAGGACCCTTGATGAGTTGTTGCAGTGTACCTTGTGTTGGCACAGACCATTGTTATTGTTCATCAGTGGTAAAGGGGATGAATGTTAAAAGTAGTGGATGGGGTGTAAATCTTTAACCTGGGTGGTGTAAAGATTTGAGTGTCGTTGCAACTGCAGTCATTCAAGTGACAGTATTTTATCCCACTCCAGACTTGAGTCTTGCAGATGGTGTACAGGCATCGGGGAGACAGGAGGTGGATTACTCGCTGCAGGATTTCTGGCCTCTGACTTGCTAAGATATTTACACGGCTAGTTCAATCAAGTTTCTGGTCAATGGTAAGTCCCAGGAGATTGATAGTGAGGGATTTATCAATGAGAGTTCCATTGAATGCCAAGGGGAACTGGTTAGATTCTCTCATGTTGAAGGTGGTGACTGCTGAGCAACGGTGTGGCATGACTGTTACTTGCCACTTATCAGCTCAAGCCTGGAAGTTGTACAGGCCATCTTGTTACAGAGGCAAACTGCTTCAGTATTGAAACTGCGAATGTACAACGTTTACCACCAGCGAACAATACCATTTCTGACTTTATGAAGGGAGAGAAGTTCATCGATAAAGTGGCTGAAGATGGTTGGGGGTTACAATACTATCATGAGGAATTCCTGCACTAATAACCTCTGATATGAGGTGATAGATATCCAACAACTACAACCATCTTCTGGTGTGCTAGGCATGACTCCGATAATTGGAGAATTTCCCCAGCCACACTCCAATTCCTACTGACTTCAATTTTTGTTGGGTTCTTTGATGCCATAATTGGTTAAATCTCAGAATCCCTGAATCCCTACAGTGTGGAAACAGGTCATTCGGCCCAACAAGTCCACACCGACCCTCGGAGCATCCCACTCAGACCCATCCTTATAACCCATCTAATCTACACATCCCTGAACACTATGGGCAATTTAGCATGACCAATCCACCTAGCCTGCACATCTTTGGGCTGTGGGAGGAAACCCATGCAGACATGGGGAGAATGTGCAAACTCCACACAGACAGTCGCTGGAGGGTGGAATCGAACCCGGGTCCCTGGTGCTGTGAAGCAGCAGTGCTAACCACTGAGCCACCGTGCCACTCCTAATGGTGCCTTGACATCAAGAGCAGACATTCTTTGTTGAGCTCTTTTGTGCATGCTTGGACTGAGGCTATAATGACATCAGGAGCAGAGTGGTCCTGGCAGAACCCAAAAAGATGACGAATGAGCAAGTTGTTCCTTTGCAGGTTTTGCACGATAGCACACATGGCAACCCTTTCAACACTCTGCTGTTGTTCTACAGAAACAGACAGGACATGTACCTAGGCAATTTTCCACATCGTCAGGTAGATGACAGCATTAAAGCTGTACTCCGCTCAACCCAAGGTTCAGAATTATGTTCTCCTCTCAATAGGATGACATTTGGCACAATAAATAATTGTTGAGATAATACTAATCAGCACCATGTTCCTGAAGAAGATTTAAATATGGTGGGAAAGAGGACCCACGATTGGCAGATGGCCTTTAATACAGATAAACACAGTCATAAAGCACATTAATGAAAACAAAAGAAAGAGAACACAGCACAGTTTTGAGATTTTAAATAAACAGAAGGCAAGTGATTGGTAACCACTCTCACAAAGCACAAGCATTATGTCACTAGGAGGCTGCAGCCAAGGAAAAAACTGGTTTAGAGCTGTAATGCACTGCATAAAAGATAGCGCAAGTAGATTTAATGGTAAACACAGCAAACTGGAAATGTACTTGAAGGAGAAAGAAATTGCAGAGTTATGAGAAACAACAGAGCAGTGGTAAATAGTGGCAAGATCTTTCAAAGAGACTGCATAAACATGGTGGACTGAACGACTAGCTTCTGTGCTATATGATTTTATCACTCAATAGAAGAGCAGAGCCAAAACAACAGGGTTCTTCAAGACTTTTCTAAAAATCTAATTTGGGGAATCATATTCAGCCTCTCCCCACTCCTCCACCTCAAAGAATACTGCAGCCCTGTAAAAAGCAAGAGAAATGGAGAGATAGATGATCTTGACTTGAAAGTTTTGCACTATGAATGCAACCAGCAAAAGCTAATGCAATTGTGCTTTGCTGTTCATGTTCTCAGTAATTTTGGAATCAAAATGATACTCTGAAGCATTTGAAACCTCAAATACAGTCATAACTAATACAATTTTCACCAAGTCAATTCCCTCCAAGCTATGTGTGATGAAAAAAAATTGGTCTTAATGGGGAGAGGGAGAAGGAGAGGAAAGCCCTTTTGAAAAAAGGGTAACTAGATGGCCAAAGATCCTCAGTACCAGCACAGGTTCAACTCAACAAGAAAACAGAAGGAAAAAGAAATACGTAAAATAAATGAAAACTAATGAAGTATAATCTTGATCTTTGCTGTTACGTTGAGAATAAAGATCTTCAACACCACAATCACATTACCCCAAATAAAGAGTCAAAGAAAAAGGCATACAATAATCCACACAGCAACAATAAAAAAAAAGTTGAGATCCTAGTCCTTTAACTGTCAAAATTTACTATTGCTCCCAAGACTACAGAAAACATTGAACATTTTAAGCAGTGCCTGGAAAAAAAAAAACTTACCTTTTTTTGCATCAAACGCAGCTCATCACTTAAGTTGCTGTTCACCTTCATCAGCTGCTGTATCTTTGCCTCAGAAGCACTGAGTGCATTTTTCACCTCCATGTATTCCTGCAATGTAATTGGCCCATCTGACAGATCAGAGTCCATGCTCTACAATAAGAAGTGCAACTGATAAACAAAATTTTCTTTCTTGGCACATAATGGTTAAGAAATCAAAATGTTTGGAACGTAAAGTTACATCAAACTTCTCTTCTGTCTAAAATCATTTTTACTTATTAGTATAGCTATCTTTAATTACTGAACTTGACTGTTTGGACTTGTTTAACTATTCTAAAAAGGAATTAGGCCATGATGTTAAATGCTGCCACAATGAGCGAACAAATTCAATTGTGATAAGATCTGGATTTTTCAGTTTTTAAACAGTTGAGTTATAACAATAGTAATCACACTGAAAAGGTCTAGATCAAGCTATGCTAAGAAAAATCTGAGATTTTACCCAAATTTGAGATTACTGTCTTATAATCACTCCCACTTAACCTCAGTTGATTCCTCCAAAGTACTGCCCACAAAGTTGGCTAAATAACCTTTGGTCTTAGAAGATGCATGGCACTGAAAGTTAGTGTCATTTTGGTGAAGCTTGGTGACAGCCAAATTGGCAACATGACAAGTCTAAAAGACTCCGATTTGCACCCGCAACCTCATCCTTTGCTGCTTACAATAGAGCTGTAGGTGGATATGACCAATCATTCTCAGCAATCAATATTACTAGAATCACTGAGCAAGCATGGAAACTCCAACTTGGAATTTCCTACTGAAAAATATTGCATTTTCAAAAGCAAGTATCCTGGAGAACATATTTGCTTGAATAAGAACAGGTAAGTAATCGCAATTCAGAACACTCAACTAGTTTTCCTTCCTTTGTAATATTCTGTAAATAACAAATGTGTACCATTATAAATTTTAGAAATGAACTGGAACTCACATGTTCGTTAGTATAACCCAGGACTATACATACAATCAGTGTTAGCACATCAACTATTTTCAACGTCATTAAAATGCAACATTAGAGATACCTTTGCTCTAATTGCTTTAACTGCTGGTTCCTGGTCCGTATCTTCATCTGAAGCAACACTATCATAATCTGGCTGATCGTTGTCATGGCTCTCACTGCCACGGCGATCATTAACACTCTTCAGTATAAGTTCCACATTTTCTGTGTTAACAAGAAAAAGAAACTGAACAGTTTGCAAACTGATTGGTCCAAAAATTAAAGAAATTAAACAAAACAGGAGATAACTTATATATGGCAATAGCCCTCGCACAACTACAGGCAATAGTAACCGCTGATATGAAGATCAGAGAGCGTACCATATTGCCCATGATTACATAATGTATTCATGGGAGTCGGTTAGCAATGCACAGTAAGGCCAACGTCTTGGGTTTAATTCTCACACTGGCTCAAGTTACCACGAAGGACTCTTCTTCTTAACCTCCCCCTCACTTGAGGAGCAGTGACCCTCAGGTTAAACCACTGCCAGTCATCTCACTTTAAAGAGACAGCAACGCTATGGTCTGATAGAACAATGAGAACTTTAATATTATGCATTGGAAATTTTAATAATTGTCCCTCTCCAATAAAGGTCACCTTTGCACTTCAGTTTTGTTCACAATTCAAATGAAATGGTACCACTAACTAATTCAGACTGAGAAACAGAAAGTGTGACACACTTCTTTGCAGGTAATGGAGGAAATGAAAGAATTAAGATCGTTATACATGAACAGTTCATCCATGAAAGCCCATCTTTGCAGCCATCCAGTTGCATTTTGCAAGTCCCAACACCCTTGTCTCGTATACCTTGTCCTGGTATGTGATTCAAAATGATTCTATCAGTTACCTGCATAGTTATAACTTACTTCCCAATACCATTTTATACTCTGACCTGAAGCAATCTGAGTCTAAATTCTCCAGACTATACACAATTTAGGCTTCTGCTACTTAACTCATTCATTAAAAATTGGAATCATTCCTTAATGCTCCCTTTCCTTTGACTTGTCAACACAAGTATTAGGAACACAGAAACCATAGGCCATTCAGTTCATCAAACTTGCTCTACTATTCAATACAATCATGGCTGATTAAACAGTTCAATGTCCTTTTCCATCCAATTCCCATAATAGTGTATGCCACTGCTAATAATAAATCTGTCACTCTCCACCTTGAACTTACTCAAAGAATGAGCTTCCACAACCTTTGTGGTTGAGAATTCCAATGGTTCACAATCCTGATTAAGAAGAAATGCTAATTTGAGACCTAAGCAGTACCACCCTTATTTTTAAAATTGTGCCCCCTGGGTCCAGACTCCTCTACCAGAGGAAACATTTTACCTGCATCTACCCTGCCTGTCCCTTTAATTATTTTGTAGGTTTCAGTGAGATCATCTCTCATTCTCTAGAACACTAGAGAATACAGGCCAGTTTTCCCCCAAGTACTGTTCATAAGAATCAGTCCCACCATCCAGGAGCAGGTCTGGTCAACCTTTGTTATTGATGGGTATTAAGTATATCCACGATGGAGATAAAATTCTGCCTATCAGTAAGGGAATCAAAGTTTATGGGAAAAGGGCAGGAAAGTGGATTTGAGGATTATCAGATCAGCCATGACCTCATTGAATGATGCGGCAGTCTCAAAATGAGCTGAATGGCCTACTTCTATTCTGACATTTTTTATAGTGGAAAAAAGTTTGATTACAATAATTGGTTATTTTCTTGTTGATTATAAAAATCTGGTGTGCAAATTTTTAAACGCAAATTAGACAATTAAGTAAAGTTAGGCAATTCGGTGGTTTAATCAACTTTTCACATTTGTACCAGCTCAGAAAACAGTGGGCTCGATTTCCAGCATACTAGCCCAGTGAGTCATGACACCTTTGATACAAAATGACAGTGAATGAGAATAGTACATTAAGATTCTGCATTTTTGCAGACTGTAGTCCAACTAACAAGTGTGGAGATGATGCTTCCACTGGTAGGAAGGACTGGGACCCTAGGGCCCAGTCTCAAGTGAAGGAAAGACCCTTTAGAACTGAGAATGAGAAATCTGTTCAGCCAGAGGGTGGTGAATCTGTGAAACTTTTTGCCGCTGAAGTCTCTGAGGCCAAGTCTTTGAGTGTATATAAATTCAGATAGCCAAGTTCTTGATTAGTAAGGGGATCAAAGGTTACGGGGAGAAGGCAGGGGAATGGGGCTGAGAAAATTATCAGCCACTATCGAATGGCAGAGCAGACTCAATTGGCCAATAGGCCTAATTCTACTCCTACTCTTATTCTTCTTATTCAATAATTTTTAAAACGCTGATATTTATTAGTAAAAGAAAAATATACACACATACCTTTGGGACTAGTGACTGGATTCCCTAGTTGTCTTCGTTTGGCATCACTTAAAATATCAATGACTAAAGTGGCAAACTCATGAGCATTAAACCGTGCCAGCTTCTGTCTTCCCTGCAATTAAAGAAAGAGTAAAATACAGACAAAAGTCTGAATCTGTGCATCACCTTGGCAGCAGAGATACTATAAATCACTTCTGTGATTATCCTTGAACTGAATTTTATTATTTCAAATGATGAATAAGCAAATGTTAGCTTCCAGGCTACCTCCAGACAACAAATTAAAAATCTTGTGCAGAAAACAATTCAGATTAGAGATAGAATAAATACTTAATACTGAACTTTCAACAGAAAATGTCACCAATGTACTGCAGATCCAATAATATCCAGAAAAAAGGAGTATACAGATATCAACTGGATTATACAACAATTTATTCATTTTTTGCAAGTTTACAGTGCTTGCAGCAGGGCTGTTGCAGTGCAGTGGTAGTGTGTCTACCTCTGAACCAGAAGGCCTGGGTTCAAGTCCCATCTGCTCCAGAGGTACATTAATAATACGTCTGAACAGGCTGATTTCAAAATATGTACTGCTTGCAGAACAGAGCATTCACTTAACACTTGCCTGATTCCTCGTTGACGAGTACTCTGGATTCACAGGAAGGAAGGGAATGACCGTTGATTCAGTTACCAGGGTGCTGTGGTTTTGAGTTGTCAGCCAAACTGTACATTGAAAAATAAGTTAACTCAAAAGCAGTGAAAACTATATAGAAACTCGAGGTAACCAATTAGATTATAATAGGTAACAATAATGGATATATTCAGTTCTTCCAACTTGTTGCAAAATCATACAACTCAACTGGTGCAACCATGCCTGATGCCAGATTGTCCTGGAAGTATCTCCGCACGAATCTCGATACGGACTTCTCTTTTCTATACATATGTTCACCAAGCTCAAAAAGTTGTCTGACAGCCATCCTATTTCATGTTACTCCATCAATTTTTTATCCTTACCTCCTGCCCTAGTACAATAATGACTTATTGTGACCAAACAAATGAGAGAGGTATTTTCTGTTACTCATACACCCCTCCCTAGTATCTGGCCCAGCATTCTTCCTTCAACCAGCAAACAGGTTAAATCATTCAACTCATTGTGAGTTATCATGTAAAACCATTGTTGCATTTGCTTAGATAGCCATAAAGCACCTTATTTCAAGTTAATTCATTAAATGAGAAAAAGCTTCCATACAGTTGAGAGAAGTGATGTTCAATACAGACGAGAAGTGGAAAAAATTGTATTTCATTTATTTCTGTGAAGGGATATGATCTACTAGTAACCTTTAATCAAACCTAGCTTCCTAAACTATCAAGCCCAGTTAAAAGGAAAAATGAGCCATCCAGGAACAAGGCTCAGATTCTTGGAGTAAAAGTTTATTTAAAAATTAGAGATTCTAGTTTGAGAGGCCTATGCTCTAGCTACTGGCTGTTTCCCCTGAATTGTGATGTTCTGTGCTATCAGAAAAACTTGCAAATCTTGAAATAGAGGTTAAAAAAATAAAAAAGGCAATTTCAAATGGATTACTTAAAGTAGAATTCCTTTTTCTGAACAGAGAGCACGTTTGCTAGAATATTACAGTCTTGGCTTATACTTCACAACTGAATCCTCACCTGCATCAGTCTCTCTTCGATCCACTTCATCGTACACGTCCATAGCTAGTTCCTCAAATAAGTGATTACTTAACTAGAAATAGAACCAGGAAGAGCATTTTACTACTCAAGAAAAAGAAAAATGCGATTGAGGTTCAACTGTATTATCCATTCGCTGTGCTTTGAAAGCATTTGTAATGATGGAGAGTCAATCTGAAAATACCAAGTATGAAAAGAAATTATGAACTAAATGAAAAAACTGCTTGTTGCATTATAAGATTCTGAAAACTTTAGTTCCAAGTTCATTTTCAAGGCTCGTCAATCTACGTCAACAAACTATCAGAAAACAAATCTGGCAAGATTGAAATCTTCCTGTTCTCAAAAGAATCTTCACATATTTCTCTCCCTCTAGTTTCCTTTTTGAGCCCAATCCAAGTGAGAAGAAGTTGTTTCATAGATTTGTAACCTGAAGATGAATTTCTTCAATCAGACGATGGGTCCTCTGTAGATCTCACTGTCTCAGAGGACTGCGGAGGCCAAGTCAGTGAAGGTATTTAAGACAGAGATAGATAGGTTCTTGATTAGTAAGAGGATCAAAGGTTACGACAGAAGGCAGGAGAATGGGGTTGAGAAACATATTGGCTACGAGCAAATGGTAGGGCAGACTCAATGGGCTGAATGGCCTAATTCTGCTCCTAAATCTTATGGACTTATGGTCTAAGAGCAGTAGGAAAAGTATAGTGTTTTGGCAACAAGGCTACCATGCTAAGAGACATGCTAAATCGCATAAATGATTAAGCATTTTGGTGTGAATGGCAACCAAATCAGACCATCCTACATCAGGACTCAAATATAACGCTACAGAAATAGAAAATCCTCAGACCTCAGCTACAACTGTATCTATTGCTATATCACAAGTCAAAGAAAGTTCATATTTTGTGTTAAACCACAAAGCTGCACTTAAAAGGTATTGAACTGTGTCTTGGGATAAGCATATTAATGGCTCAGTGCAAACTACTTTAATATAAATCATTGTCTTTTCTGGATAAGGAGACAGAGGCCCATAAAGGATGTCCAATTGGTGACATTATCACTGCATATTTAAACGCAAATGGGAGAAATTCCAGCTGACTGAGTACAATCTCTAAAGATGGTCACTCAACACACACAGACAAATGCTAGAAAAGGTGACATCCACAAATCCTGCCTCCAATTAGTGAAGCCAAATCCTCTGGCTATGAGTACAAGTCGCTTCTTATACGTTGCTAAGTGCTAGAGTATTCCTTGTAAAAAATGTACGGAAAGATGAATTGTGAAATTATTTTTAAGTACACTATTCCATATTCCTTTGTTGTTTGATATTGTTCTGGAGGAAGTTGAAATCCCCTTTTATTCAGGTATGCATGCTGTGCACAAGATGAATGGGCAATCACACACATTCTAATTATCATCACTGAGGCACCATTTGTGGTAAAGGCAAATTTAAACAGGCCAAATGAGAATAAGTGCAATAAAACTGCACACATCACTGAGTTTATATCTAAAAAAATACTAACATAATCTAGGCCCGAAACGTCAGCCTCTCTGCTCCTATGATGCTGCTTGGCCTGCTGTGTTCATCCAGCCCTGCACCTTGTTGTCTCGGATTCTCCAGCATCTGCAGTTCCTACTATCTCTAACATATAACTATTCATTTGTACTTTCTCAGTCGGAGAACTGCAAGTGCTGAAGAGAATGCACAGTTTTGAAGAGTAACATGCATAGGAAGGCAAATTGTGCCAAGCACCTAAAAGACATTTTAGTATAATTGCTTGAAGGCGCAGATTAAAGTTCAAGCTCTTATATGTCAGTCTTCTATTATGCCAAGAAAAATAAATAACTTACTGACTGCAGTTTCTTCTTTGCTGCTTTCGCTAGTTCTGACAAATCTAAACTGCTGAAGATAAAAAATAAAGAGCATGATAATTAATGATGTACCAATAACACTGGACAGTTTTTTTTAAACTGCTTTGTGATATTGCTTTCTAAACCAGTGTAAGCAAAAAAATTTAATTAAGTGAAGCCATCTAAAGCTACAAAATAGGTATTCAGGAAAAGTAAGGTGGTACTCCCAGACGGTTCTCTGTACAAATTCACAACTTGGTCTGGTCATATTGACTATTAACATCTCAGTTCAAATCCTTTATCTTCTCTTCTTTACCCAAATTTGGCTGCAGCGGTGCTATATTTTTGAATTGTAATTCAGTATGATTCCAGTGTATTATGTAAAAGGCAAATAGTTCTGTCGTATACGACCAATTCTTCTTTCCAAATCAAGCTCAACAATATTAAAGATGCAACAACTCCCTTTATTGCTCAGTTAGGAAACCAAATATTGGCGTAAATTGGATGGTTATTTGATGCTGTGATTTTGTCTTGCTTGATGGGTGTTGACTATGTTCCCTGAAGTTACTTAGAGCATCTAGGGATAGTGTCAGTAATAACACAGGCTGTAGGAGAAAGTACCGGTCATACCATAATGGTTCAATTTAAAAAGAAAATTATACTGATCTTCTATTATCAGGCCTTAAAAGTAGCTATTTTATTTTGTATTACTTACAGATGCCTTTTATCCCAAGAGTTGCATTCAAGAAAGAAGTGCATAAATATTTATTGATTACAACAAGTTACAAGTATTTAATAATATGGCTATAGCATCAACCTCATGAAATCAAAATTACATAATCACTGATTAATTTAGAATACCTCCCGCAGAATTTACAGATCCACTTCACCATTAAAATGTCATTTGGCACCATTATTCAGCTAGTAAGTACAACATTTTGCACAAATTGTGCAATAATAACTAAGGATGTTGACCATTGATCAGAAATATATGTAAAACTACCAGACCACAACAAGGGCTATATGTTGTAATTGACCTTAAAGCCTGACATGCAAGAGTGGAAAGAACACCAATCAGAACACCACTCATAGCAGGTAACTATTGGACAGTGAATGAGGGCAAGCTCAATACGGTATCTGTGGTGGTTTCAAATGTCAAACATCTCATTCATATTGACTCTTTGAACAGATATTAAAGTATCCATTTGCTGACAGACCAGAGGATTGCTGATAATTGTGATACTACACCCTAGCAGAATTTTGGGGAGAAAGAAAGTGAGAACACAATTGAGTAATTAAACATACATAAAAGTAGGAATGTAACATTTCATAGCAGTTCTTATTAAAACTGTATTTTGAGCTAGTTGGTGACAATGGGAAATATTTCAATCATCCCACCAGAAGTGGTAGAGTGTATGAAACTCTGGATGATACCATTCAAGTACATTAGCTTGTCCATAAAAAGAAAGAAAACTGTACAAAACCTAAGAAAGTATCCAAAGAAAAATTTCAGATGGAAGAATACATATCCTGTATTTCACAAACATTGATTTTTGTCAGGGTGTCTTCTCTACTTTGTCCAGCAGATTTCTATGAATCACTTTTCTATAAATTTTCAGTGTATGTTAACCCGAAGGCAATGGGACAGGTATCCTGGGGCATGATAGCTGCCTTACCCAATTAACTACACATTTTTCTTCTAATTAACTTAGAAGGTACCTTTGAGTAAAGCACCGAAATGCAAGTTCTGATACAGTATTAACCTGTACAAATTATGATGTCTCAATTTAGATTCATGGACTGGGTTTCAAATAGTTAATCATAGTAAGGGTGGCAATTAGCTCAGTACCACAAGATCAAGAGCAGGTGGAGCAATCCATTTCACATTCTCATTTCAATCATTATCTGGATGATTTCCTCACTGGAAAATTGATCTGCATCTTTGATGGGAGGGAAAAAATTTGATTTTGCTACAACATACTTCACATTTGAATTGTCTGCTGGAAATCAAAGTGCAAATACAAAGAGTGACCATGTGAGAGAGATGGTGCAAGGCTGCCAACGAGTACAGATAATTTGAGGATCAAGTGGCAAATTTGGAGGGAGATGGTGGTATAATTGTAATGTCTTTGGACCAGTAATTCAGAGGCCCAGGATCTGGGTCATGGGTTCAAATCCATGTCTTCAGTCCATAAACTTAAATTTCATCATAAATCTGAAATTGTAAAAAAAAATCTCAGTAATGGTGATTATGAAGCTGATAGATTGTTGTAAACATCTATCTTGCTCACCAATTTCCTTTCGGGAAGGATATTTGTTGTCTTTATTTTGACTGGCTACATGTGACTCCAGACCCATGGCAATTTGGTCAGTTCAAACGTACACAAGATGCTATAGAACCTCAGCAGGTCTGGCTGCATTTGTGGAGAGAGAAAGAGTCATATTTAGAGTCCAATATGGCTCTGAAAGACAGTCATATCAGTCTCAAAATGTTAACTCTTTCTCTTGCCACAGAGGTGGCCACACCTGCTGAGGTTCTCTTCCATCTGGCATTTGTTTCAGATTTCCAGCATCTGCAGTATTTTCCTTTTACATGGTTGACTCTGAACTGCCTCTAAAATGAACCAGAAGGCTACTTGGTTCAAGGGCAATTGGGAATGGGCGACAAATGGTCTTTTCATAGAATGTCACCATCACTGACGAGTAAAGGGAAACAAAATTAAGGGTCAATATTTTACTCCAAGTAGCCAACTGGTGAAGGAATAAACGAAAGCAAGTCTTTACTTGGTGTAGACCTATTCAGTAAAACATTTAAGTAGGTAGAAATCTTCAGACTCTATTTAACTGTGTCAGTAAATGGCTTTTCAGCTGTGCTCAACTAACTCATTCAATCAATGCCCTGGACTTGTGTGTACTTTACTGTTAAGTGTATGTGTCAAACTGAAGACTGACAACTGAGAGTTATTGTTAGTGCCAGGGCGCCTGACATTTCTGATGAGGTTGTGATTCACACTCATGCTCATTGAAGTCAACGAGAAATGCAATCAACCTATCGATCCAAAGGGTAAACCACTAAGTCAAACTATGACCTGTGCCCAAAGATAGTGAAGCTGTTGTACCAAACAGTAATTTCTCTTGTGGTGAGAAGTTTATTTTTTAATCAAAAACTAATACTTAGTGGAGAAGTAACTGATTTTAAATATTACTTTTGACTTTGTAGAAACAGTGTGAGAGAAACAAAATACAAATGATCACCATCCAATTACACTCACAGGAAGGTAAATAGATGGACATAAAGTGAGGACATAGCTGAACAACTTCATATCAACATCTATATCTACACCTGACAAATGACAAATCAAAGCGTGAATAGTGTCAGCAAGGAACCATTGACTTTGGAAGAGGAAGCAAGAAAACTGGAATGAAAACAATAAATCATCTACAGCTATTGAATTTGGCTGTTTCTTCTTTGGCTTTGTAATTGAGATGTACAGACCAAAATATCCAGCAGGTGGCAGCCAATGGTATATTTAACTCAGTGAAAGAACAGAACTAATGCTGTTTACAGGGTGAGGTATATCAAAATAAAAGCATTAATAAACCATGGAAAATACTCTAAAGTGTAACTCAAACAGAAACTGTACTGACACAATTTCAAACAATGAAGCGGAACCATAAAGATTTGAATTCCCACAGTATCAATAGGGTGAAAATGCATCACAGCTGCAATTTTTATTAAGTACAAACAAGTTCCCATTCAAAGGATAATCTTCAATCAAACAAAACTCTAAATGTTTGCACATCCAGGAGCACGCCACTCTTGGCTGATTTGATTGTAACCTCAAAGCCACATACCCATCTACCCCTGACAACTTTTCACCCCTTTGCTTAACAAGAATCTAATCAACTCTACCTAAAAATATTCAAGCAGTCTGCTTTCACCATGTTTTCAGGAAGAGAGTTCCAAAAACTCTCAACTCTCCGAGAAGAAACTCCCAATCAGTTTTAAATTGACAACCCCTGATTTTTAAACTATAACCCTTAGTTCTAGATTTTTCCATATGAGGGAATATTGTCTCCAAATCCATACTGTCAAGACCTGTCAGGATCTTCTGTTTTAGTCAAGTCACTTAAGATGTTTTTAAACACCAGCAGATACCAGACAAGCCTGTCCAACCTTTCCTCATAACACCTCCATTTCAGTTATTAGTCTAGCAAACCTTCTCCGAAATGCCTCCAACACATTTATACTTTTCCTTAAATATGATGACCAGTATTGCACGCAGTACTCCAGATGCAGTCTCACCAGTGCCCTGTTTAACTTAAGCATAGCCTCCCAACGTTTATATTCAATTGTCCTTGCAATAAATGATAATATTTTATTAGCTTTCCTAATTGCTTCCTCTACCGTACAAATCTTTTGTAATTCAAGAGGTGCACCCAGATCCCTCTGTATCTCATCTTTGCGATTTCTCACCATTTAGATAATGTTTCTTTTTATTCTTCCTGCCCAAATGGACAAATTCACATTTTCCCATATTATACTCCATTTGCCACTTACATAACCCATCCAAATTCTCTTTAGGCTTATTTCTCTTTCTCAACTTACTTTCCTACCTATCACTGGGTTATCAGTAAATTTGGCAACCACAGCTTTCAGTCTATCATCTAAGTCATTTGTATAAATTGTAAGCAGTTGAGATCCCAGTACTGGTCCCAGTGGCATACAATTTGCTACAGCTGCCAACCTGAAAAAAAAGACCTAATTAATCCACTCTCAACTTCCTGTTAGCCAATCTTCTTTAGCCAACATCCTTCCCCCGACACCACATAACATCTGACGTGGCACTTCAAATGCCTCTGGAAATCCAAGTACAGTACATCCATCCACCTGTTCCCCTAATCCACAGCGTGTGTTACATCCTCAAAGAATTCCAATAAACATGTCAAATATGATTTCCCATTCACAAAATCTTGACTTTGCCTAATTACTTTGAACTTAATCAAGTGCTTTGCTATCACTTCTGTAACAATAGCTTCTAACATTTCCTTATGATAGATGTCAGGCTAACTGGTACATTGCTTCCTACTTTGTCTCGTTCCCTTTCTAAACAAAGAAGTTAAATTCATAAATCCAATTCAATAAAGAGAAATGCACATTACTACTTGCAGTTCTTTTGGTTTTTATTGCACGTTACTACTAATAGGTATGCTCCCAGAAGTAAATTTCACACATATTAATTGTTCTTCTTAACACAAGGAAACAAGTTTAAAGTTTGAGAAGATTTTTAGCTCGGGTTGTGGATGAGGTTGTAGACTCGCTCACCGAGCTGGTGTTCGATTGCAGGCATTTCGTCACCCTGCTAGGTAACATCGTCAGTGCGCCTCCGGCAAAGACCGGAACAACGGAAACCGAAATAATTAGTTGACAACACTATCCACTCCATCCACTTCTCCCAAGAATTCCTCAACATCAAGGAGACCAGAATAGAAGAGGACGAGATAATGATATCCTTCGACGTAACTGCACTATTTACATCCATAAACATTGACCTAGCCAAAGAGACAACCGCCACACTGCTGGTCGAATCAGGAAGGCAGGCAGGCAGCCTATGATACCAACAGCATTAACAAGGACAGGACCCTGAAACTGCTGGATCTGTGCCTCACAACCCACTTCACCTTCAACGAACGTATATTCAAACAAATCAACGGAACACCAATGGGATCCCCAATCTCAGGTCCAATTGCAGAAGTGGTAATGCAAAGGTTAGAATGAACAGCACTCCCCATTATACAACCCAAACTCTGGCTATGTAGATGACACCTTCGTGATTATAAAACGCACAAGACTAGAAGAAACCCACAGACACATAAACAAACATGCTCACCGGAATAAAATTCACAATATAAGAAGAGAACAATAATTGACTACCCTTCCTAGACATAATGGTAGAATGCAAGAACAATGGGGAACTCCAAACAGTATACAGAAAGACCACAGATACGGACCAGACACTTAATTACACCAGCAACCACTCCAACATCCATAAACGGAGGTGCATCACGGCATTATTCAAACGGGCCACAACACATTGTAGCAACCTGGAATTGTGCAAAGCAGAACAGGAGCACTTATATGGAGTTTTTAAAAGGAATGGATACCAAAAAGCACATTACGCTGTCACCTCCACGACAGACCACAACAAGACGACACAACATGGCCATACACACTAGTCACCCTACTGTACATCAGAGACATATCAGAAGTGACCGCAAGCCCACTCAGACCACTAGATATCAGGGTAGCCCACAAACCAACAACCAGCCTGTGACAGCTACTGACGAACATAAAGGATCCCATAACCACAACTAAAAAAACTAACTTAATATACAAAATACCATGCAAGGACTGTGAGAAACATTACATAGGTCAAACTGAAAGAAAATTGACAATAAGGATACACGAACGCCAACTAGCCACCAAAAGACAATAAGAATACACGAACAGCTACTAACTACCAAGAGACGCAACCAATACTCACTGGTCTCAATACCCATGGACAAAGAAGGACACAAATTCGACTGGGACAACACATTCATAATAGCACAAGCCAGAGACATGCCAGGGAATTCCTGGAGGCCTGGCATTCCAACCAGAACTCCATCAACAAACACACTGAACTGGACCAGATATATAAACCGCTGAAAAATAGAACCAGAAGTGATGCCAACCACCCCAACAAACTGAGGTATATAAATAGCAAGCTGGTCAGAACACTGACGCTTCACTGGAGGCACACTGATGATGTTACCCTAGCAGGGTGATGAAACAGCTGCAATCAAACACACCGGCTCAGCGAGCAAGTCTACAACCTAATCAACAAGTTCATGGCCCACAGGACCAATTCTCGTTTTGTTAGATGCTCTATGCTTCACTCTTATTGGCTATTCAACTAGATTAATTAGATCTCCTATGGATTGTTTTTGGGTTTTTATGAACCCGTTATCATCCATCATCTTTTGCCTTACATCATCCTCTTTTGTTATTTAATCAATCCTGTCTTTCATAATCATTGACCTTCCCCGCTGATCCCTTATGTTCCTCTCTTCTCTGGTTCTGTACATCCTGAAATAAAAAGTAAACTCCAACATCTTCTAGTTTTGATGAAAAATCATCACAGTGCTAAGTCAAATGAGTTCCTGTCCAGAGATGTTGGTCTACCAAGTATTTAGCAGCACTTTCCATTTTTTACAAAACAGAAGATGCTGGAAAAACTCAGCAGGTCTGGCAGCATCCGTGAAGAAAAACCAGAGTTAACGTTTCGGGTCCAGTGACCCTTCTGGGGGTTTCCGTTTTTTATATCAGAATTCCAGCATCTCAGTATTTGGATTGTGAATCAAGTCCAAGGGTGGCAGTTAAATAATAATCTGAATATTAGAGAGCTAAGAATATTTGGATCAGGGAATGGAGGTGTAATTCAGTTTCCACTTTGAAGTAATACATTTATCTTTGACTTCATATTGCCACCATAAATTCAAATCATATTTATGAAGAAAACAAGAGTCAACTCGTAAAGGTGTAATCACATCTTCTGTCAAGTACTGATCCTGTAGCACCTCTACTGGGAAAGATAGAATTACAAAAGCTAAATTATTTTAGTGGATATCTGAAACAGAAACTGAAAATGCTAGAAACACTCAATAGACAGCATGTGTGCAGATAAGAGCAATTAATGCTTCAGGTTTATAACCTTCCAGCATAAGCAAGGTACAGAAACAGGAAAATAGTCGTGTAACAGGGAAGGATTGTAAATCAGGCAGGACTCACTAAACAACAAAAGGGCAAATCCTACAAGTCGAAAGGGGAAGGGAGTGTAGTGGAGTAACAGGACAAGTTTAGAAACAAAAGACGACTCTAGAGGAGCTGCAAATGGCAATAAAGGGCTGTGAATACAGCCAGGCAAGATAAAAAATAAACACAGGGATCAATAGTCAATGCACATATTGATGTCATATACTTAAATTTATATGAAGTAATTTCATAATTGCACTTCCATTGCAAGGTTTGCACAGTTCCATAGCCAGCTATAACCCTTACAGTCCCCACCACTTTAATAGGCTTACCAGCATTAACAGTCCTTTAGAAGCACCAAAAAGATCATTCGTACAGAGATTTGTCAGTAGTGAACTGAGTGTGTACAAAATGCACACTTTCTTTAAAATTCGTTTTTAGGAGGTGGGTGATACTGGCAAGCATATATATTCATCCCCAATTGCTCTCAGAGCAGCCAAAAATAAATTCTGATATTGCCATTAAAAAAAAACAAAAATCTCTCTGCCTCACCTATCAGCCATCTGTGGAATTATGAAATGCTGCCCATTCTTGTGATCTGGAATGGAAGGAGATAGCTGAGTCATGGTACATGTTAAATGAAGAATAAATGCAAAATCATTAAAAACAATAAAGAAATAACTCATTCAGATGTCGATCTCACTACATTATACACAAGTGCGGATTGGGGATGCGCCTCGTTCGGTTTAAAATGGACAGGCATCATTTTCATTCATGGTCTGGAACTGCTCATGAGGAAGTTGTCCCATAGAGAGTAATATAAACATTTCAAGGAAATACTTAACTAGAACCTCGAGATATACATTATTGAATATTGATAAGTTTTGAGAATTGGCATATAATCAATGTTTCGCATTGTAAACATTCAAGGAAAATGGTGCTTTGGAGATGAATAATAAGTAGTGAAGAATGACAGTACCACGTGGAACAAATTCATGAAGGATACAATTTTGTGGCAGTCTTAAATGCAAAATATTATAAAAGATTGTGCCATCTTGCATTGGTGCTTACGCAATTATAATTCTGTCCTTGCTGGTCATGTATAATGAAACAAAGTAGTCAATATCTCTACTCAGCAGACATCACTAGACATAGCACATAAGCAAACAAGAAACTTAATTTATTTAAAGTTATTACACCTGTAAGCTATTCCCAGAGCCACAATTACAACAGAAATTCCAAACCATGAAGAAATTCTGTGCCTCAGGTTTAGTAACAGTTAGAAACAACCTTTTTTGAATATGCAAATATGGATACATTCCACAAAGGATGATCATGAAAAATACATTAACAAATATTCAAATATAAAGAAAACATCACAAATTGAAGAAATCAAGACTGTCACGAGATCATGTTGATAAAATTGTGCAAATTGAGACCGTTCAGTTGATTCTTTCAACTGTACAAATGATCTGGGCTCGTCTACGAAGGAGGAATGCTGCATTGCATGAACATAATAAGCAAGGATTTTCCATTCATAACTGTGATTCCGGAACTGTTTTTCCACACATAAATTAAAAAAGAAAGCCTACCCTTCATAGAAGGAACGGAGTTAACTAAGTTGTCTCAGTCTTGAACATTGAAATCAAGTAATTAGTCTTTCTCCAAGTACTGTATTAGTCTCTAGATCAATGGCACTTATAACATGGTTTCAAGTGTGAACAGGGAGCTATAGTCTAGTTAGCCTGTCATCAACCACAGGGACATGCTGGGATCCATTATTAAGGAAATGTTAACAATGCATTTAGAAAGGCATAAATATGATTGGAATATACATTGACATAGTTTTACAAAAAAAAATTATTTTATAAATTTACTGGAGATTTTGAGGATATAACTAGTAGGGTAGGTATTGGGGAACTAGTTTATGTAATGTACTTGGATTTCTAAAAAGGCATTTAGTAAAATGCCACAGAAAAGAGGCGTATGAAATTGAGGGTGATACTATTGACATAGATAATGAACTGGTTAACAGACAAATGTGGCAGTTTTAATTTTGGCAGGCTTTGACAAGTAGACAAAGAACAGCCGGCTGTAACAATTAGTTACTTAGATAAAGAGGCAGAAAGCAAGGTATTTAAATTCATTAAAGATTAAAAGTTAGGTAGAACTGTAAGTTGACAGGAAAGACAAAGACTGCAAAAGATAACTGACAGTTTGTGGCCAAAAAGGTGGCAGATGGATTATAACATGGAGAATTACTATGTTATTCACTTTTATCAAACTAGGAAGCAGGATATCCTTTTAAAAGGTGTGAAACCTGTAAATGTTGATGTTCAGAGACTTGGGTGTACTTGTACATTGAACACAAACAGTTAGCATGCAGGTACAGCAAGCAGCTAGAAAAGAAAATGGAATGTCGATCTTTATAATAAAAGGTTGGAGTACAAAAATAATTAAGTCGGCTGTAATTGTACTGGGCTTTGGTGAGACCACACCTGGCGTACTGTATGCAATTTTGGTCTCCATATTTAAAGAGTGATACATTTGCATTGGAATCAATACAGTGAAGGGTCGCTTGATTAGTTCCTGGTATGATAATTGTCATACAATGAGAATAAATTCAGTATATCCTCTGGAGTTTAGAAGAATGAGAGATGATCGCTTTGAAACGTTCAAGAAATTGACAGGGATTTACAGAATAAATACTTAGATATTGCTTCCTGGCGCTGATTAATCTCGAACAAGGGGACAGGGTTTCAGGATTAGGAGCCAATTCATTTAGGACCAAAATAAGAAATTCCTTCATCTAAAGAATTGTGGGCCACAGGAATTCTATTCCGCTGAGGGTAATGGATGTGCCATCATCTTAACTCTTGGATACATAGATTTTTGATCTCAGGGAATTAAAGATACAGGGAGCAGACAGGAAAGTAAGGTTGACACCCATGATGAGCCATAATCATACTGCATAGCAGTGCAAGCTTGACGGGTCATATGGTCTCCTCCTACGTGTAATTTTTTATATTATTTCCACCCTCATTCACTTCCAACCTTGGACAGATTTATAATCCCATGCAATTTGTGCCCATATTTATTTTCTTCTCAAATGAGATGGGGACCAAGCTGGAATCAAGTTTTATTCTCCTTCCTCTAGCAAAACGTGGCAAAAGAACAAAATTATGAAGTTGGGCTTGATACTCTCTGGCACTGAAGCAATACTACAAAAATGAGGGAGAAATGTTCAATGTAAGAATTGGTCCATAACTTTACCCTGTTTTCCTTTGGGTAGATATATGGCTTCCATCTGGCAGGTGTCCACAGAATTTGATTGACAAATAGGAGATCAGTATGTTGTAAGTACAAATGCATCAAGCTGCATCCTCAAGAACAGCCATAAGGAAACCACTGATTAGCACTGAACATCTCAATAAAACATTAGAAAGCAACATTGCCATCTCCAGCAATCTTCTTTCATACCCACCTGGTTTTCTTCCACAAAGAAAGAAGGCTAGTCTATCAGTGAGTTCATACTGGATCTCCACTAAACGGTCTGCTAGTTCATGGTGCCCTGCTTGTCTGCAAAACAAAGACAACATTTTAATGCCAAAATAACATGGAGAAATAAAGTCAGGACTTTGATCTCTACACAATACAAGACATGAACTGAGATAAAGGTAAAAACGGAAGAAACATCATGAAACTTTAGTAACCCAAGTATCAACCAGTGGGATTATTACAAGATGAGCAATGCTACTCACATACCTTGTTTATAATCACCAAAAAAGTGACTCAGATTTCATTCTTGCATGGCTTGTACTGTCCAAACAGAACTCAAGTTATTCAATTAATGATTTAATAGAGGTGTACAAATTTATGGGGTGGGAGGTGGTTGTTACAATAAATAGGGAGAAACTGTGCACTCTGGACAATCAGTAACCAGAGGACATAGATCTAAATTGATTTGTAAAAAGGGAAGATAAGGAGACATTTTTCAAACAGCAAGTTATTTTGATGTGAAAATCATTGTCTAAAAATATGGTGAAAGTAGCCTTATAGCAGTTTGCCAAAGGGAATTAAACATATACTCGACTGAGAAAATACTCCATGATTCTTCTTGCAAAAAGAATCAGTTTCATCCTCTTTCCAAATTATAAATAGATCCAACCCTTGAAACATTTGAAAAACACCAAAACACTTTACAAAGTCACCAGAGTGAACAGATTGGCAGTGCATTTAAAAGGTTGAAAGACTGCAAAGAAAAGAAGAAAATTTGGCTTAAAAACATCTAATATCTATGTCACTTGTACTAAAACTATTAGGGCACACTTTAATTTGAATGAAGTTATTTTTTAAAGCCAATATATTTCACAACAAAAAGGTCAAGAAGACTGTAGTAAATCAGTGATAAAAATATTTTGTTTTTGCATAATTTGACCTGAGCTGTGAATAAGCCATCACTGCATCAATACTTATATTTTTCTCGATTGTAAATGGATTAATAAAAAGGTACCTCTGGCTTTTTTGGATTCTAACCTTGCATGATCACTTGGGGTCTTGCCATTGGCATCAGGAGCACCAGGGTCAGCACCGTATACTGCTAACAACTCAGCCTGTAGAATTTGTCCTCCTTTGCTTGCCACATGAAGAGGGGTGTTTCCTTTCTCCTGTAATGTAAATGGAGTTTAAAATCAAGCACAGAAGTAGTGTCAGTTTTGCATTAACAATCAAATATTTGCAAAAAATACAGAGTCATAGGAAAGGCAAATTATTGCACAGTACTTTCTTCTTGAAGCTGTGGATGGCACTGGAAAATTGACATTTATTGTTTATTTATAATGCAGAAGCCTTTGGATTAAGGGAGCATAAATGGAGGACTTCTTCAGTGCTGTTCCGTTTCATCGGAGTGTAACTGGAGATTGGTGAAAGAGGGGAGGTGATAATCAGTTCCTCCTCCTCTCCCTTTGGTGAATACTTAAGCTCTTTATTATACAAGTGACGTCTTAAGGAATTTGGGGCCTCAAGGGAAAGAAGAGTCAATGGGAAAGGAGATAGAAACAGAGCAGCAAATAAAAATGGAGGCTGAGACTTACAAGCTTACCTGGGAGTCCAAAAAGGGAAGCTAGCAGGGGAGGAGACTCAGACCAGAAAGAGTTATAAAAATGTGACATCACAGGAAAAGCTGCACATTCATTGGCTGATAAGTAACTGCTAATTTGAATACCTATTGTGAATTGTTTTCAGACTGAAGGCAAATTGGTGAAATAGTTTTTAAGATTACACTAACAAGTGGAAAAATTCAATACACAAATTAAAAGCTAATTAATTAATTTAAAGATGCAGGGCCATGCAATGTCTTGAACCTGCAGGATGTGGGAACTGATGGACCCCATTGTAGTTCATCATGACCACATCTGTCGCAAATGTTGGTGGGTCAAGGTACCCTGGCTCAGAATGATGAGCTGGATTCTTAGCTTTAAACCAGTGACACATCAGGGAGGAGCAAGAGTTACCTGGATTCTTTGTTTCAGGAGGCAGTCACACCCTGTAGATTAAATTCTTCAAATTTGGCCAGTGGTCAGGGACAGGGGAAGGTGACAATAAGTGAGGCAAATGCAGGGATTCTGAATATAGCATTGGAGCAGCGTCAGCTCTTGACCCTTGTCCAACAGGTTTAAAGGTACTTGATCTCTGTGTGGATGAGGAAAAGGGCTGTCAGGGAGGATGGATAAATTCACTACCACACCATGGTACAGAATCCGGGAACAAAAAAAAATAACAGTAAGGGGTTCTATAATTAGGGGTGTGGATAGAATCCTTTGTCAATGGGATCAAGAGTTCTGAATGGTGTGTTACCTGCATACAGTCAAGGTAAGAAACATCCCAAACCAGCTTGAAAGGATATTGGCATGGGAGGGGAGGATCCTGTTGTGGGCCATGTTGGGGCTAACAACATGGGCAGGGGGCCCTGTTGGGAGAATGTCAGGAATTAGGAACAAAATTAAAGAACAGGACCCCAAGGGCTATAATCTCTGGATTACCAGGCCAATATGCACATAGCTCAGGTAAAGCTAAAACCAGGGAAATAAATATGTGGCTAAAGGAATAGTGCAGGAAAGACAGAGGTTCCATTTTGTGGGGCACTGGTATTAGTATTGGGACAGGAAAGGACTGTTCCATTGGAACAGGCTCCACCTGAATGGATCTGGGACTAATGTCCTAGTGGAAAAGCTAAATAGGGTGGTCACAAGTACTTTAAGCTAGTAAATTGGGGGCTTGGGGAGGTCAATGGCATTTCAAAAATCAAACCATCACAGTAAAGAAAGAGAGTTAGGAATTCTACTTCAGGTGCGGCAGAGAATGACAAAACTATAAGAAGTATATTGATTAAAGAGAACAAATAAACAGGTGAATAAAGTATCAGCGCATCACCCATATAACAGTTCTATATACGAATTCATAAAGACAAAGGAATAAATTGAATTAAAGTTATTGAGACATGGCTGCAGGATGGTCAGGATTGTGAGTTAAATATACCAAGTTATAAGGTTTACAGAACAGACAGGGAAATTGCAGGAGTTATAGCCTTACTAATTAGAAACAAAATTACTTCAATGGTGAAGGGGGATAAAATGAGGGCAAAGCATTCAGTGAAGACTGTATGGGTGGAACTGAAGAACAGTAAATGATCTAAGACTGTAATAGGTGTTATGTACAGACCTCCGGTAGCAGCTGTGAAGTGCTGGATTTTACAAATGCAAAAGTTGAGCAAGAGTGCAGTAAGAGAGATAGTAGGAACTGCAGATGCTGGAGAATCTGAGACAACAAGGTGTAGAGCTGAATGAACACAGCAGGCCAAGCAGCATCGTAGGAGCAGGAAGGCTGACGTTTCGGGCCTAGACCCAGGGTTTTAATGGAATGTTTAATTTTAACAAGAATTGGAAGAGACAGACAAGCACCGGTCGGAAAGGTAGCGAATTTCTGGATAATTTCCTACAGCAAAATGTCCTGGATGCAACAGGGGAACAAGCAAAATTGGATTTAGTAATGAGCCGGATTTAATTAGTAACTTAATTGTGTGTGAACACTTATCAAATAGTGATCATAACATGATGAGTTCAACGTAACATTTGAAAGCAAAGCATGAATCAGTTACTAGCAAATTTTAGATTTAGGAAAGGCTGCCTTTAACATGATGAAACAGACTGTCCATAGTAAACTGGGAAAATCTGCCAATGGGGAGGAGATGGCCTAGCGATATTGTCGCTGGACTGTTAATCTAGAGACCCAGGTAATGTTCTGGGGACTCAGGTTCGAATCCTGCCACGGCAGATGGCGGAATCTGAATTCAATAAAAGTCTGGAATTAAGAATCTAATGATGACCATGAATCCATTGTCAATTGTGAGGAAAAACCCATCTGGTTCACTAATGTCCTTCAGGGAAGGAAACTGCCATCCTTACCTGGTCTGGCCTACAAGTAACTCCAGACCCACAGCAATGTGGTTGATTCTGAACTGCTCTCTGGGCAATAAGGAATGGGGAATAAATGCTGACCTAGCCAGCGATGCCCTCATCCCCTTAATGAATAAAGGAAAACAACTGGAAGAACAGTGGTGGTGTTAAAGAAACAAGTAACACAATATTAAAACAGATTATATCCCTGAGGGAAAAGCTCCATTTCACAGAAAAAACAGCCATGGACAACTAAAGAGATAAAGAACAGCATAAAATTAAAATGGCTTACAAAAATGCAAAACAGCATGGATTCTGCTGAATGGGAAGGATACAAAGACCAGCAAAGCAACTTATAAGAGCTACAAACAGTTTATGAAAGTTTTGTTGTCTCTGGCAACTTAATCAAGAAGAAATATTAGTGACAAAGGGAAGCAGGTGATTAAGAGCAAATGTTGGCCCACTAAAGACTGCATGTGAGATTATTGTTAATGACTATGAAGAAATAGGAGACATGTTCAATAATTACTTTGCCCCAATATTTCCAGTAGAAAAGAAGGATAGCTTGTCACTTATCAGAACTGAATAACACAAGTAAACATCAGTAATGATGAAATTAATGGAATTAAGAGTGACAAATCACCAGAACATGATGGTTTCTATCACATGTTAAAGGAAGCAAGGGAGCACATTGTAGACGCCCACAACTATAATCTTTCAGAGTTCCCGAGATATAGGAGTCAGCCCTCTGGATTGGAAAATTGAACATGTCCAAAGAGGAAAACTGGAGAATTACAGACCAGGTAGCCTAACATCTGTGGTGGGGAAGTTGTTGGAGTCTATAAATCACAGATGGGGTAACTGATGCCTTAAACTTTCAGTTAATCAGAGAGAACTAACATGGATTCAATAACAGGTCAGTCATTCTTGACAAACCTCATTGAATTTTTTTTTGAAAAGGTGACAAAGGTTGTTGACATGGGAATGTCTATGGTTGGGAAGACTGGGCAACTGCTTTGCAAAGCACCTATGTTATATTTGCAAAAATGACTTTGTGCTTCTAGCTGCCTGGCATCACCAAAGTTCCCTGGCCAACACCTGTCTCTCAGGCTTGCTGCAGCGCTCCAAAGCTCATTTTGTGCTTGGGAACTCTGCAGCCATCTGGACTCAATATTGAGTTCAACAATTTTAGGGCTTGAGTATGTTCTCCCATGTCCTTATCCTAATCCCATGAGCTGCTGCCATAAACAACCCATTTTCAGCCACTAATGGTCTACATTAGCAGCTATTTAATCTCCAAACTGACCTTTATCCCTTTGTCTGCCTGTTTTTTGTTCTCCAGGCTCCATTACCACACATCATTTACTCCTTCACCCTCCACCCCCGACTCCATCTTTAGCATTGATACCAACCTTTTCCTAGGTACAATCCGTTCTGAGCAAGGGTCGTTGGACCTGAAATGTTAACTCTGCTTTCTCTCTCAGATGCTGCCAGACCTACTGAATTTTCCCAGGAATATTTGTTTTTATTTGTGAATGTCTATGGATGTTATTTTATATGGAATTCCAGAAGGCATTTTATAAGGTTCCACGAAGGAGACTGTTAACTAAGGGAGAAGCCTATTCCATAGAGGGCAAATTACCGACATGGCTGTAAAAATTGGTTAAGTGGCAGGGGAGAGAATAGGAGTAATTGGCAGGCACTCTAATTGGCATGATGTGACCTGCAGAGTCCAACAAGGATTTGTTAGAGCTTCAACTAGCATTATTTATTAACTCCTTGGATAACAGCATAGAAAGTTGTATATTCAGATTTGCTGATGACATAGTTAGGTGGCATTGGACAACATACGTGATAGCATAAAATTACAAAGGGATATTTATAGACTAAGTGAATGGGCAAAACTGTGGCAAGCAGAATTCAACGTAAGCAAGTGAGGTTAACCATTTTGGAATGAAAAGAATAGATCAGAGAACTTTCCTCAATGATACACCAACAACAGAAACAGAAATTGCTAGCAAAGCTCAGCAGATCTGGCAGCATCTGTGGAGAGAAATCAGAGTTAATGTTTCAGATCCAGTGAACCTTCCTCAGAACTGGTTCTGGGGAAGGGTCACTGGACCCAAAATTTTAACTGATTTTCCTCCATAGATGCTGCCAGACTTGCTGAGCCTTTCCAGCAATTTCTGTTTAGGTACTTGTTGTTAATGTAGCTGATACCTGATTCACAGCTCCAGGTAGTGATTAGCTATTTCCCTTCCTTGTCCGACTTAATGATCTAGTGGACTTTTAAATGATCTGGCAGTTTGTCATTATTTTCCTACTTGCCCAAAAATCTCAATTCTTAAGTGTCCTTGAATTCTCAACCCCTGGATTGTTAGTAGGGTACCATACCCTCAAAATACATGGCAACTGAGAAGAAAACAACGGGTTATTTGGTTTCTTTAAACAAAGACATTTACTCCCATTTCGCTTCCCAAGTCGATGGAGAGTTAGGGTAATCTAGGTGCTAGATACACTGGAAACATTATACCATTGCTAATCACACTTCACATTGGAGAGAATAGGCATATGCAAAAACCTGCATTTTAAAATACTTGCACACTAAGTGGCAAAGAATTACTTCAAAGCATTTTGCTTAATTATTTGCAGAGATTACATTTCCCAATACTTTGGCACACATTAAATTTATAGAAAAGCCCAGAAACAACAAACAGCTGCAGAAACTCTATTAACAACATTGATGTTTAAGACTTACAGGGTGAAAGAAGTTTGCTTGAGCTCCTAATGACAGCAATCGCAAGCATGTCTCCAAGTTTCCTGTCCGCACACTTGAATGCAATTGCTGAAATAACAAAAGACATTAACAATAGGCATAACAGCTGGGAGTACACTTTTAGCCTGGACTTTAAAAAGTTGTGGAACCTCCTCATTGTAGGAGAAATTGTCCTGAGGAGAAAGAATTTGATATTTTAATACCATCACTAGCACAAGTTTGGACATATTGTAAGCAACGCTGAATGACAGATGACTTTTGGTAACACCTTAAAAACTGTATATGGGGAACCAATTCAGTTCTTGTCATTCATACCATTTAAAAAAAAAAAATTTCTTATCGCAGAAGAATGGAAACATTCATTCATTTCTTCTTTACTTGTTCACTGCTGCATTTCCTTACATTTCTACAGTTACTGCACTCAACAGTAATTCATGTGAAGGATATAGATATTGATTCAATTAAGGCAATTACAAACAATTACACTTCTGCATCTTAGTTTTGTAAATGTGAACAAAAGGAGACTAAACACTAAAGAATTTGCTTGGCAGCGTTCAGGTATTCACTTTCTTTTTACTCCTTAATCTCTTTGCTAACATTCCAATGAAATCAAAATAATAAACATATCCACCTCTCCCAACTGCTCAGGTAGTATGCCATACAGACCCAGAAATAGCTTAGCTACCTCACTTCAATCAAGACCAGCAATTAAGCACACTTCAAATATTCCCCACCCTCTGAATTAAAATTGAGTGTCAAAATTAACTCGTCATCTGCTGGACAGCATGTACATAATTATCAGGTTAAGCCAGTCAAAGATCCTGCTGTTAATTTTTCCCCCACCACAGTAATTGCTATATTGGTTGTGTACAGTATCAAGCTTACACAAAAAGGAATACCTAGTAGGGGTATCAAAGTGCGTAGGACTGGCAGAACCACATTCTTGCATGTGACAGCAAATAGAAAAAGGCACAAGGAGGGGCCTGGCATAGGAATCCAATCACCTCACTTGCTTTTAAACATATACTTGTAACTGACTAAGCACCATTATCAGAGATTTGAGGGATTATTGCTACTAAAAATGTGATCTGGAGATTAAATTATGTCACTTCTTTTGACTCAGATATCCCCAACAGATTTTAAATGTGCTCAACTTCTCAAGTACATTATTCCCCAGTCAAGGTGTTGAACAGCCAATCCAATCTCAAAACTTTATCCAATACAACTGGTGGCTATATAGTAAACTCCTCTCCAAACGTGATACTTCAACATAAGGAGTGTCGACTACTGTTTAAGAAATAAGTACGTGGGAATTCAGTCCTCAGGAAAGAGGCATTATTGTGCCATTTCTCTTAAATTTGCTTTTATAATAAATTAATTCCAAAATCATGCTTGTTACAAACGGAAAAAAAAACTTGCACATCCCTCAAATCAGAAAACTGGGATCTTCAAGGATACAGATGATGTAGTGCCTAGCGTACTCTTAGTGGGTGGTGTGGCTTTGTGTCAAAAATTCGTATCTCAATGGAAATTCTAATCTCATAACATCTACCTACCTACTGGACAAAACAGGTATACATGTAGGCATATTTGCTGATTTAATAGATTTCTGCCAACAATTGGTTCAAACTTCAAGCAACACAATCAGTGCATTAAAACCTGTGTACTGAAGCACATCAAAAAACAAGCCAACCTCCCATTCACAGTATTTGTTTAGCAGTTCCTTCATCTCACCTTACAAAATGCCTGTGTTATCTCCCTTTAGTCTTAAATGAGAAAAATCCCTTGCTTACTTTGTTCAAAAAACTCCCCCAATGTCAATGTTAAACTAAAGTAATAACTAAAAACATGAAATTTACTGTTTCACATCATAAATTATGTTGTGGGCTCTTAATGTCTTAAAAGCGATTTCATTCATCTGGCTCTTTAGAATAGTTTGAAATGAAATTGGAACTACCTAACTCCAGGAAAAACAAAAAATTCTACACACACATTAGAGGTAAAGAAGTTCCCAGGGATATATAATTCTCAGATTATCCAAAGTTCTGGTTCCACACTGGCACTATAAGAGACTAGCAATCCTTGCCTGAGGTCACCTTAGTTTTCAAGCAATAGAATTAATAAATTAAAAGATACAGCTTTTTAATCACTTTCTAATCACAGTAGTGCAGGAAATACTATGAACAAAGCTGCTGCACCTAGATTATAACTATATTAGTAATACTATGTAACCCAGCCAGTGAAAAATTCCACTTCATCTTAGTATCAGCAGCATTTCCAAACAATTGAACAAGTGCATTCATAGTTAATAACTGAAGTACTTAATACAATAGGTTACATGACTATACTGGCAACATTAAGCACTACTATTGCAACAACTCTCAACTCATGTACACTAAAGTAACTCAAGTCAAATTTAGCAACTTTCTTCCAAAGAAATATTTTAAGGTTTTCGTTAAGCTAATGCTTTTTGTTATGATGCTTACTTTGCTCAGGTCTTTGGCTGCAACACTGTCATCCTCACGACATGGCAAGCGATGGACGAAAGCCAGCATTGAATATTTGGCTCTGATAAATTCTGCTTTATTGGGGCTGAATGGTGGAAAAGAGTATGAGTAATTTATTTGATAAGGCAAACATGTTCTAAAAATACCACAATGTACATTTATATGGAACAATTAAGAGTTTATTTGTCATGGTAATGTAGTCTTATGAGAGATTTATGGTCATTTCAGTAAGCGGTGTCAGCACTGGGAAATGAAACACTTATTTCAGACAACCAAAGATATACATGCTGAAGAACTGTTAACATAATGCTGTTTCTACCCTGCCTTAGTTGTCATGACTCCATCTACATAAAATGCTTCAGGTGCAAGTTTTGAACAGAACACATGGTTCTCTCAGTGTGACTTTTTTTTTGTTTCATACCAGTCATTGTCCAGTACTGGAATAAAGGCAACATTCATATATCCTGGATTGACACAACATTGTTCTGTAGCAATTGCCACTCCAACACTGCAGCAAAACACCCTTGCTGAAGCATAGCTTTGTGCATGCAAGCAACTCACTAAATACAAACTTATAGTGTGAACTTTGTGAATAAGTGTGGCTAAACAATCAAAACATCATCGACACACCCTCTCCCCTGCACCAACCGCTTTTAAACACAAGATATGCAAAAACTTGTGGTAGGATATACCAGAAGATAAGTGACACCCATGGTACAAACCCAGTAAGAATCAAAACTTTCATGTTTAAACAAGTCGTTTGGCATCAGCTGTGCCCAGTTCTGGGCAACACATTTACAGGAGGAGCACAGAGGCAAATTTACCAGAATACTTTCAGGGATTACAGCTACATCGTCAGGTTGGGTTGTCCTCCTTAGTATAGGGAGGACAGAGAGAGCTTATGCAGAATCAAACTGTGAAGGGTTAGAGGAAATTAAGAGAAACTGGTTCCTGGATCACTAACCAGAAGGCATAGATTTTAAAAAGGTGTTGGCAAAAGAACCAGAGTTGACATGAAGTAAAACATTTTGCTACATATGATTGACTGTAGCATTGTCTGATCAGGTGCCGATGGCAATTTCATTAAGTTTTTAAAATGAAATTGAATATGTATTCAGAGAAAAAAAATGTAGGGACATAGGGAAAGTGCAGAAGAATGGGACTAATCTTACCTCTTCTAAAGAGCCAGTGCAGACTCAATGGGCAAAATTTCTGTGCTATAATATTCTGTAATTCTCAACCAGCTATGTTCACATAAACACTTTATGGCCTTTCAACAATAAGTCAAGATGCTGTACAGAAATTTAAGTATTTACGTGATTCATTCAGAACTTTTATAGACAGAAGACATAGAAGATAGCAAATGATCAGACTAAGTTGAAATTGAAGCCAGATCCAGCAGCTGAAAGACCAATATGTAACATGTCTTATCAGCAATTTTCTGATTTTCAAGTGGAGATACTGACTAAGAGCCATGTCACATTCTGCAACCATTTTGATAGTGGGCCCTAGCATACAGGGTTGGTCACCATAATATTACCGCAGTACATCTTTTCTGCAACTAGAGATTTTGAAAGGCAAGTTTTGAACCGTTAATAGCTCATTCCACTAAATGACTGATGCAGTCTTGCTCGTTTTTTGATTGGTTTCCTTTCACAAATTTGTATGTGGCTCCATAAATATCCTCCCAATTCCAAGGGTTGATTTATGGTGACGGAGACATACAATTTTAATTCCTGCAAATTGTTGCTATTTATCAAGAAGTTAATTTAATCATTTCACAGCTTGATTAATTTTCCCTTGTGAAATATAAAAAAATGTAATTGAAATAGAAGTCTCAAATTTAATTGAGTAACTAAAATTAATCTAAATTTTTCTAGGCAATCAGAAAGTAGCCGCTATTGAACTATGAACTGGTAACATAAAGGGACTATAAGAATCATGAAGGACACTGAAATTTTAGACCAGTTCCAAAAGAGAATAAACTTATAACATGCGGTAGTCTAAAACAAGCTTTCTATTGCATCTAGTTAGCATATCTCGCAGCAATTGTGGAGAGACAGGGACAGTTAATATTTTAAGTTGCATTGGATTCTTCTCAACAAATTCATTCCAAAATCATATTTGACCCAAAGTGTTAACTCTTTTCATCGCACCAAAATACTGTCAGACCTGCTAGGTACTTCCAGCACTGTTTTATTTCAGAGTTCTAGGAGCCACAGTATTTTACTTTGATTTCTATTGTATCTGACCACTATCATGCATGTACAGATTGATAAATATACTGGAAACATCTTTCATTCTTCAACTGTGGTAACACGGCTCAAAAGTTAACAGTGGAGAACCACAAGTCAAAAAGTGACTTGCCAGAAAGTACACCTTGTGCCTTACACAAAAATTAGTTTGGAGACAAAAGTTAGTTACTTGAGGTGCATTTCTGATTCACTGATCTAATAGCAACTGAAATGCTAGATATATTTATTGTAAATTTAAACTCTGTATCAAATAGAAGCACAAAGCAGGGTTTGATATACTTACTGCACTTTGTCTTGAGGGCTGGCCTTGCGCTTTCCACTCATTAGAGAAGTAGGATCCAGCAATGAATGCTCCCAGATTGAATTGGCACCATTGCTAACAAGAGTTTGCACCATCTGAAATTAAAGACATGTTTTTAAAACATAGAAAACAATATTTACCGTAATGCTTTTACAACTGATGGCACTTCTGCCATGGGCATTTTCTTTCCATCTGAAGAGGTTAAACAGTTAGATTATGAGGAAATAATGGCTAAGTATGGCCTAAGATATCTCAAGCTGGACTGAAGGGCTGGGATATGGAATAACCACAGTTCGATGCACAGGAATTTAATAAATTAATCCTTGTAACTTGCAATAACAGCACAATGTGGGTTACAATAACAGTCCTGATCAGCAGCCACAATAATTATGTTAGAATGATCTACTAGGTTAAGGCCTCATGCATTTTTACCAAGCTTAAAGTGATCCAGCAAACCAGTGAGCTAAGATAACTGCTGAAAGTATTCACATATAGAATGTCTACTAGTCAGACACAGCATGAATTGAAAAAGGCATGTCATCAGTAAGGAATGTCCAGTTTTAGCGCTTCAATAAGTTACAAATGATCCTAGCACAGTAAAAGTTAGGAAAGCGCAGTAAAATGTGACAACTACTCTCTAATTAGGATCTATTTATTTTCCATGAAGATGTTTCTATCTTTGAGGAGCTTTTTTCTCATACCCATTTTCCTATTTTACTTTTCTGTTCGGATTACAAAGATACACAGTGATCCCACAGGAACCACATATAATGCTTACATCATGTTTCCATTAATTTTCATTCATCTCAAATTACTGCTGAAGGATTATCTATCAATGAGGCAATGGCACTAAAAACTGCATCTTCTAAATAGTGAGGCCCACAAAAGTCAACAGGTCAGAAATGGCAATATAAACACAAATAGAATGAAGCAATCTAGAATTCCCAGTTCATTGAAGCCATGTGACTCAAGTGCAGTAGGTCTAATCCTTGGATGTGTCATCTTAGTCCACCTGGGTGAATAGATAACTTGTTCTCTGATCTATGTTAAGAATGCTGCTATCAGCGAATACATAGGGGCGAGCCCGAGTAACTCCCTATTTCAATTTTCATACAGTTATCAGGAAATGGCTGTCCTTTTCACACAGAGTGAGATCAGATAGAGCAAACAGATTATTATGGCCATAGAAATGCATTTTATCATTTGAGTGGCTAGAGGTCTCATTCTCAGAGAGGTATTGACCAGAACTGGCTTCAAAACTTCTTCACAACTTGCACTTCTCAGAATATTACATGGCTTCTAATGGATGGAGAGCATCATGAGTCATGGTACTTAGCTACAACATGACGACATGGGTCAACCTTCTTTGACTAACCAGTCCCTTACAAAGATATCAGGCAAAACCAGGAACAAATCTAGCTTCCCACTGAACCTCTGTAACAAACCTGTACTCATTAAGGGGGTAAGATTACAAAATTTTCCTTACCTGCAGCAATGTAGGAGGCCACGGTGTGTGTGTCAGGTGTCGTACCTGAGAGATGTGCCGGCCCAGACTGCGGTGCACACTGCAGCAGTCATCACAGATCAGAACACCCCTGTTTATAGATGCCCAGCGAGGATCTGGAAAAGAAGCAATTCATACCTTTTGTTTTGAAAAAGATGCATTATTTTTCAAACATCTTGACCACACCTCAAAACAGCAAAATGCTCCAACAGCAATTAAATGAGCAAGCTTTCCATCTATGCCATAAAACTGCTCTTACAGACTTGAACTCCTCATTCTGAAGAATGCAACAGAATACTAAATGCAACACTTCAGAGATATATTGTTCCATCATTATTTGGATAATCATAAAATGCCAATTTTTAGAAGTTTATTTTTTTTGGCAGTTGGGGTAGGGTGGGGGACTAAATAAAATGATGGGAAGCCAGTTGTATAATGCCCTCTTGTCCCAAATTAGCAGATACTCAAGTTTATTGTTAACAGGCATATTCTTTAAGTAGGCCACAACATAATTTCATAGTATAGTACAAAGAGCTTTAACCGGCATCAATTTGGGGTCAGTTTAAGTCAGTTAGGCCACAGAAACAGAACTAATATAAGCAACCATTAAATAACAGGAATTAAATTAAGTTCTGCTTTTAGTTGATAAAGTATATTTTCTTAAACATGATGAAACTCAATTCGGTGTGTACTAGCAAAAAGGCTCAAAGTGTGAATTATCATAAACTTGTCAGACTTTTTTTTTAAAAGGACAAAGCATTGTTGTTTGCCATTGAGAAGCATTTTAATAATAATCCATACAAACAATATAGCATATCATTAGAAATTAATAGCTAGGAAATCTAAAAAACATTTCAAAACTGCATTAATTTTCCTATTATCCATGACACCACTTATCTCAACACTCTTCACTTCATTGAAAGAACCTTTACAATATAACACCTCTGATAGAAAGCACACAGAACACATCACTGTTAATGAGGGGGGATAAAAGACATGGTATATTGCAAAAGTGGAAGTTAGTACCACTGCTCAACATAGTTAAGTCAAAATTTGTGATGAATGACTCAATACAACCTCAAAAAAATATAATTCCAAAAGAGGGAAAAAAGATCTATTTCAGCCTAAGTGAAAATCTCATATTTAGTTTTCAATTGAAAAAAAATTCTGCAGGTTTTGGCACTACTGAGAAATGAAATATGCACTGTACAAAACAAAAACAAGTTCTGTGAACAAACCCCCACGTCCGTTCACATACTAACTAGAATAAAAAGTGGATGAGAAGGGTGCCTGATGTCATAAATTGCACAAGATATATTTTAGATTTTGTGCTGTACACTCAAATTTATGAGGGCTAGCAAATCAACTCAAAACTTTGCAGTTGGAAGGTTGCATTTTTTTTGTAATAAAATGTACACAGATCTCTCACCTCTTCCTAAGCAACTTATTATAAATTTGAATATGGCAGTAAAGGTCACCAGAAGTGACAGTCAACGTCATGCTGTGAACTGGAGTAAAAAGACAGACAGACAAACAAGGAGGTCACTCCTATTCCCTACTCTGTGACTCCTGCTGAAAATAGTGATTTGCAAAACAGAACAAAAATCATGACAAAAATTCTGAACAGGAGGTAAGTACTTATACAGATTTAATAAAAGATTTAATTTATGTAACAAACCAAAATTATAAGTATCCAAACTGGGTTCACTATATTCACTACTGTTTAACGTGAGTTAACTGCGAGAATAGGGGAAAGAGAGGAAATGTAAGTAAGTTACTTTACTTAGTTGCTAAACAGAATCACTTCAAAGTAGTATCTGGGAAATGCATTGTTAATTTGAATATTTTAAAATATAGATGTTGTTTTGAACTGTCCTTTGATTTCTCAACTTGTGTTATGCTTCTGCTACTAAGATGATGAATAGAAGGGACTTGTGCTCAACTTTCTGTCAATTATTGCTGGCTAAGTGATGAGGATGGCTGCGCAGTGTTTGCCTCCCTTCCACTTTCATATCAACTCATGGAATTAAAGAAAAGTTATTGGCCTGCTTAAGAAATTAACTAATTACTAGGCCTAATAAGGCTGTGAGCAGGTATTGTATAATTATTCTGAAGGAAATAGTTAAATTATACCTGGATTAAATACCATGAAATGGCTCTCGGATTCTAAAGAACATTTTCCATTTCACTTGAGTAATACCTTGGCTGGTTTAATTTGGATTATCAACGCCACCACATGTTTTGTCAAGGATTTCATGGTTTGTAAAATACAAATAAAACTGTTTAAGGTGTTAAGAGTTAGTTACATAGTTGTGAAAGCTACTCATACTGGTCAAGGCATCTAGGAAATGGGCCACAGCCTAATCATTTTAGAACCAGATTGTTTAGGATTTAAGCTAGGAAACATTTCAACTTGCAGAGGGAGGTAAAACTTGGAACATTCTTATATCAGTAACAGCAATAACCAGAACCCTAGAATACATACTATTTTGTTACTAGTAGATCTAATCTAAAATGCCAGCCCATGAGAAACCTAGAATTATCACCAACCAAAACAAGTGGAATAAGCAGGTCATAGGCTTGTTTTAACTCCGTCTTGTGATCCGAATTTATTTGTGCATAACAGTATAATTAATGCATTAAAAAAAAATTATTCTCAAAATGTGGGTGTCACTCGGAACGTGGCTGTCATTGCTCACCCCTAATTGCCATATAAAACTGGTGAGCACCTTCTTGAAGCTCAGCAGTCCATGTGAAGGTATTCCTGCAGTGCTGTTCAGAATGGAATTCCAGGGTTTTGACCAAACAACGATTAAGGACCGTCAATACATTTTCAAGTCAGGAGAGTGCACTATTTGGAAGGAAACTTGAACTTTATAGTGTTTCCATGCATTTGCTCTCCTTGTCCTTCTAGGAAATAGACGTCGCAGGTTTAGGAGGTAATATTGAAAAAAAATCAAGTTGGTGCAGTGCATCTTGCTGCTACAGAAATGTGTTCAACTTATTACCTTGCATCTCATTCTTTTGTTAGTTTTTGTACAAATGTAGATTGTTACAGCAACATCTCATAAGATGTCCCAAAACATTTCATAACAAGAAGGTGCATCTAAGCTGTGATTAGGGGAGTCCAGTTAGGTTTCTTAGATCTTTTCAACTTACGTCATTTATTAAACCCGCCTCATTACACATCACTAGCTCCACAAAAGCCTGACCCCTGATTGGATTCACAATATATTATTCAAGAGAATACACTATGAATTCTTCTTCGTGATTACCCCTGCCAATTTGATTTACCCACTTTATATGAAGATTAAAGTCATCCATGATTAATGTACTACCTTTTTCACATGCTTTCATTATCTCCTGATTTATTCTGTCACTCTGTATAGCCACTAATCAGGAGCCTACAGACTACTCCCACCAATGTTTTCTTCCCTCCACCCAAATGGATTCTACACTTTCCAATTCAAGATTATTTTTTGCTATCATCTTATTCTGACCCTGACACACAATGCTGCCCACCATCCTTTCCTTAATGCCTGTCCTTTCAAACATTTAGACTCCAGCTTTGATCTCCTTATAACCAAATCTCTGTTGTTGCTAGAAGATCATACCCATCAACTTGTATTTGCGCTGTTAAATAGTATTAGGAATAAAATAGTATGTATGTATTCAAAAGCAGGGCTATTAATTTTTCCTTTTTACCATTTATCCCTTTGACTCTATTTACTGCTGTTTTTCCTGTATCTGTAAACTGTCCTATCCTACCCTGGGCATCATTAAGCATATAGCTATCCAGTCTTGCTGATATATCTTCTTGGGCTCCCGCGGCCCAAATTAGTTTAAGCCCTCTCTACAACTCTAGTTATTTGAATAGTTTAGACACTAGTTCATGCTCAGGCCATGTGAAGCATGTTATACTGGAACAGTTTCCTTCTAACCCAGTACTACTGCCAATGTCCCATGAACTGAAATCCATTCCACTCACACCTATTTTAGAGTTATGCATTTAACTCCTTGACTTTGTTTAGACCTGTGCTAGTTTGCCCTTGACTCAGGTGATAATCCAAAGATTTACCTCGATGATTCTGCTTTTTAAGTTCAGCTCTTGGCTGTTCAAGATCTTTTCAGCAAAATCTCTTTCCCAGTGCTGTCAATGCCGTTGGTACCCACGTGAATGTTGACAACTAGATTCCATCCCTCCCATCTAAAAATTCTTCCGCAGGCCCAAGGAAATATCTTTAACACTGGCACAGGACAGGCAACACAGCCTTCAGAACCCCATACTTACTGCTGCAGAGAACAATAAATTTCAATGCCTTTAAGTATACTGTTACCTACCACTACTACTTTCCCATTTTCTACCTCAACGGCTCCCTCTACCAAAGTGCCACGGTCAGTTTGCTCATCCTCCCTGCAGTCTCCACTCTTGTCTGCATAACTTGCGAGAATCTCCTAACTGTTGGAGAATTGCTGGGGCCCAAGCTCCTCAACTGCAAGCCCTGGCTCCTCAAATCTGCCTCACTTGCAGTCACACCCACCTGTCCCTGATTACAGACAATTTTGAATGATCTAGTTTGAGGGACATCACCACCCTTTGGAGTAAAGTGTTCAGGTCACCCTCCCCTTTTCTGATGTCGCACAATGTTTCCAGCTTGGATTCCAGCTCCTCAACTAAAACGCAAGGATCCTTAAGCTGCAAACATTTACTATGGAATGTGTTTGCTCTGAATCACATTGGTGTCCACCAGCTTCCACATGTTGCAGCAGTTGTTTCTAATATGAAACAGGACAGCATTTTGGTTAAGAAACTAATTTAGTATTTCCACTGTGTAAAAGAAAAGATTTTCACAAACACATGGGATCAAAATGTTCAACTCCCTTTAATAGGTGTCTGTTCCAATCTCTAGACAATCCCAGCATACGAAAATACCTCTAATTTTTCAAAACCCTGACAAAGACTCAGCTCTATCCCACCACAATACCACACAATTTTTCATGCCATGCTCCTGCAGTTTGACACCTCAACAACTCTGAAGAGAAGTGTTGCATCAGAGGCATTGTATTTCAATGAAGTGTTAAACTGAGGTACCATTAGCCTATTCAGGGTCAGGAA